CCCTCTTCCTCCAGTCTTAACTCGCCCTCCTCTTCCTTCTTTCTTTTTTCCTTTCTCTCTTTTTTTTTTTTTTTTTTTTTTTCGTTTACGCGACCCACGAGAAACCACGAGTTCCGGGCACAGTGAAAAATTTTTACAGAACGAGGCACACATGTGTGTAACTCGCCAAGGTAACGTCGGATCGGCCGTGTAATCGGTAATCACTGATCTCGCGCGATAAAACGATTAATAAGCGGTGTTCCAGCTGCCGATGACTAATGTTACATCATACCCGAACAACAATGATACGGTAGTTTCTAGTATAAAATGGTTAAGAGAAACACGAGATGAACAACGTTTTACTGCGATCGTTCGAAAAGAATCGGGGAAGAAGTGTTTCGTGTTATGGTGGAGATCTTTTAGATAAAAGACGCGTGAAAAATTGAAAATTGTGAATTGATGTGATTTTGCAATTTTGTGCGCTTATTGTATTCGGATATATGCAGAGAATATTTCGAGTTTAGATATTTAGCAATTCGGGTTCGAATGTCAGAAAATTATAAATTACCGCGATCGAAAGGAATTAAGGGAGAGAGGCATGGATCGATGGAGATCTTTTAGATAGGAACGTATGAAAAATTGGTAATTGAGATTTTCTTGTCTTGCATTGTGCGTTTACAAGTGTACATTAGATATTAGAATAATCGTGGAAAATTATAAATTGTACGCGCGTAGAGTCTGTCTATGTATTTTTTTAAAAAAAAAAAAAACAAAATATATAATACCAGGAGAGAAACGTTTTTTGGAAGGGAAGGGACGAGACGATGATAGGGTTTCTGAAAAAGAGACGACAATGCCAATAATCAGCCAAGTGGTTCGACCGATTCCAATAGCTTTATCCTTGAAAACGAGCAGCTTCCTCGTGCTTCCTCCTATTCCTACCCCACGCGTTCTATACCGAATTATACGTAGTATATCTCGTCTGGATCCCTTCACATTTATGCTCGAGAGAGTACAATTTGTGACAGCCTCTTCGCCGAGGGATCTTTCAGATTCGGAAAATCTGCCTTATTGTTGAGTCGAGCCTTTCTCGCTCGACTCGGGGAAGAGTTAAACGTCTACTCTTTCCCTGATCATGATAATCCACATTATATTCCTTTATTAAACATCATTAAAAAAAAAGTTATTCAATTTTTCCATATATCATTATCACATTCAATTGTATACTTCTTTTAACATCCCTCGTATTCTACTCTCCAAACAATTTCACTCTACGACAAAACACCAAATTACACTTGGACAAACCGCTTGGACTTCGACTTGTCCTCAACTTCCTCTTCACACCCCCTTCTCTTCGAAGATCCGCACAAATTTCGACGGTTCGAACGTCAAATATTTGCTCGGTCGCATAACACCATTATCCGTAAAAATTTGTTGCGCAATTTTGTCCCTCGATTAACGCGTCGACACAAGAAGAGAAACAGAGAGGGAGAGAGAGAGAGAGAGAGAGAGAGAGAGAGAGAGAGAGAGAGAGGGAGAGTGTGCACGAATTGCGCAAGAGGAAACGCGCCACCAAGACTCGTTACACGCGGAGGACTCGCCGTGATATCCGCCGCGTGGTCCCATTTATCAGTATCGATACCTCGAATACCGGTCGACGTGACTTCATCCCGCCGCGGCGTTTAACGAGGGAAAGGCGATCACATTTCATCTCATTAGTCGGGCGGCATGGTTACATCAATTTATAACTAACACGACGATGGATAGTGGATAGCCGCTACGCTCGTCCACTTATGTTGGCCGGGTTAATTAGCGCCGCGTTTCCATTTCTTTGCCCGCGTGAAAGCCGCGCTCTAAATGGACGTGGCGCGCAATAAATCGCGCGATTTTCAAATAATTTCGATATCCTTACGACGATTTAAAACCTTTTTGTAATTGGAGGATAGTGGACAATCTTCTTTCAATAATTATCAAATAATTTTTCGCTTCGATATCTTTTCGACGATTTAAAATCTTTTTGTAATTATGGAGGATAGTGGATCAATCTTCTTTCAATAAATAATTGAAAAGAATTGACGAAACGGAGTGAAGAATTTTTCGACGACCAAATTTTCCTCTTCATTCTCATTTTCTTTTTCTTTCTTAATTTTTCATCTTTCATTTAATAAAACGTGTAATAATTATTATTGTAGTATTATTAAATCGCTAAGTTTCTGTAATTTAATTGATTATTATATCGGAAATGAGTCACTGAATTACACGCATAACATAACGTTCTCTGGTATTTTACTACGAAGAAAATAATAATTGACAAATATCTTAATAAACGGGAAAAAGATATAAAGAGAAAGTGGCATTTCTAAACTAATAGTTAATAACAAGTTGCGAGATTATCGAGATTTACGTTTTTTCGTATTACATTATATCGTAGTTTGTATTACTTTTACGTCTCATCTCGTTTCGATCGTGGAAACCTTTTAATTCTATTCACGGATAAATCGAACAGTATATCAAAGTTTTATATATATATATATATATATTATTTTCTCGTTCCATTCGCTGGCCAGAAAACGTATCGCAATAATCTAGAATAGTCGTTGCGGGGAAAACGATTACAATGGAGCGAACAATCTGGATAGGAAATCGGCGAAACGTGCGCGGAGATTTCTTCTCGATGCTGGAACCTCGTGGATCGCATAGAAAAGATATATGGCAATAATGGTAAGGGCTCGTAACACAACCGTACTTGTGACCGACTTGCAGACGCGATAAAATCTCTAGTTTTTCTCGTCGGATGTGATTAAGATTCCGAACGTATGTCTATCTTCTGTTTCGATTCTTAGAAGACTGCCTTTGTTTTTTTTTTTCCTCTCTCTCTCTCCTCGATATATTTCTCCTTTTTTTGTATTGTATTTTCTTGTACGTATATAGTCTCTTACGTAAGAATATTTTAATCTGATATTGTAACTTTGTAACGATTCAAGAACGTAAAATATAAAAATTAATTACGCAGAAATGTAATATAATTATTCTTCGAGTTGATTTGAACAAGTTTAATTTTAGAGAAAGAAGAAGAGTGGTGGGAAGAAGATAGAATTATTCTTGTTCCATCTTGTTGCATATTGTTTTATTTAACTCAAAATTAAATTACTTACAACTCGGAAGATTAAATAACTTTTGAGAAATTTTTCCTTTGCCTCAATCCGTAAAATTTATCCCTTAAATCTTCCATCCACTTTATCCTAACTTCAACGTTCCATCGAATTAACGTCCAATCGAATTAAAAATGGAAAGATTGAATTAAAACGATAAGATTAAAATTGATAAACAATTATATTGATTCGTCGGGGGAAATTATTTATATCTGTACACGACGTGGAAAAAAAAAAAAACAATATTTGGTTTGCCAAGTAAGTAAAATAAGGGAACGGAGGCGATCACCGATCGTAAACATCAATTTTCATCGCTTTTGAATTTTAATCCACACATCCTATTATAACGATGATCATAATAATTTATGCGGCAATGATATAACTGCGTACGTGTACCGCACGACAATAATAAATGTGTTCTCCGGTAATGATCAAATATTTATGAACGGTTACGGTGATCGTTTACAATCGCCCCGCCACGTCTCATCTTAATGTATAATACAATCTTTTCTTTCTTCTTCTTCTTTTTTTTTTCTTTTTCTTTTTTTTTTTTTTTAACAACTTCCAACTCCCCGCGCGCGTTGCAAATTTAATAAAATTAATCCTTTCCCCGAAGTGAAGTGAGCGATATCCTTTAAAAGTGCACGAGGGAACGATCGATTTACGTAATTCTTGGATACAGGATTAATCGAGGTTTTAATTTGGTTTTAATATCCGACGCTCGCCTCGACGAATTATTATCGATCCAGTTGAAAATTTATTTGTACTTGGGTCGAATTAAACCGATGTCACACGATGGATTTATGGCTAATTATCGTATCGAACCGGACGCGCCACTTTGGATGAAAATTACACGTGAATTCGAGTTGCATTATTTTCTTTTTTTTTCTTTTTTCTTTTGTGCGTTTCTGCGTAATAATAATGGTTTCTCACAAAGAAATTGTTTGCGTATTCTCGATTGAGATTATTTCGATGACGAGAGTTGGATTTGGAGAATTGAACCCTTTTAATTTCACGTTTTTTGGTAAAAGAATTTCTCTCGATTTTATTCCATCGTAAGAGAAAATTTATATCTTATATTTCTATAATTTTTAGGTTAATGGTTTTTAGAAGAATTTCAAGATTGTAATATATATTTGTTTTATCGTACAATAGAAGGCGCGTATAGAGGAATTAAAACAAAAGAGGATGTATGAGTTGATACGATGGACAGTAACGATGTAAAATTAATACGTGTTTTTTTCTGTTCGTGCATTAAAAAGCAGAAGTAAAGAAGTTAGATTAAGTGACCTAGAATACCTGTAATAATGTTGACAATCCGCGTAAAAGGTAATCTACACCTGTCTTTAAATAACACGGCTTACTCACTGCAACGTGCCACGACTTACTGGAAAAGTAATTATACCATGATTATTTCCATTGAGCGATTCTTTCGTGCTCGTAATCATTTCGCAATTGTCATTAATTCGAATGGAAACGTTTAACGTTCAATTATCAACCGTATATGTTAATAATTTTTTGTCATATTTATGAATTCTTCATTAGAAAGAGGAATAATTGAATTGAATTTTTTGAAAACCACACAAATTACTACTTAAAACTTTCATTCAAATATAAATATAAATAAAACTAAACATTTTGTTCTCAAAGATTCTTTAATTAGTTCATCACATTTGACGTGAAAAATGTAAAAGGAATTCGCGTAAGGATCAATAAAACTTCAAACTGTCTATGCAACGAGCACAAAATATCTTAAATCTCTTAAATCTTGTATTTGCGTAAACATCTTTTTTTAATCTATATATGATTACTACAGTTCATAAATATCGCGAATAACGTATTTTTTTCTCTTCTTTGAATGAATTTCAGACGAACATGCACGCGTCGTTTCCGTACGACGGCGGACGCAGTAGCGGCGGAGGCGGAGGAGGCGGAGGCGGAGGTGGAGGTGGAGGTGGCGGCGGGCGAGGCGTCGAATACGGCGCTGTCCGCCGTCCTGACGCCCTTCTACCACCCCCAGGCCTCGACCAAACCGACCTCGTTCTCCACAGCAGCCTCGTAGACGACCCCCAGGTGAGCGACGATGTACGTAATCGCAACGTATTTTCTCTATTATCGTTCTACAATTGACACGAATGAAAATGCTACGAAACAACAATATTTTACGAAGAAATTGCGATCCCACAATCGATTTCTCTTGCATTACGATCCTCTAAAAATTTATTCGTCGTTCAAAGAATGAAGAAAGTTTAATGTTTATTTAATTGTATATGTAAGAATAAAAAATTTGCACGAATTAGAATCAGATTTTGGGGAGGAAAAGGGAATTAAGTTCTACTGATATCTTATTCTTATATAAAATTATCGAGCGTTAATAAATAAGAATATGAGTAGAATTTCATCAATGTTATCGCAAAACCAATTTTATTTATAAGATTAAATTATTACTTTTGTTTTCGCGTGGACTTTAACTTCCATTAAAATGTGTCTCGACAATATTTTTTCTTTTTAAGATAAATTAGAAATTAACTCCCTTATGAATTTGAATTATGAATATATATTCTCTCTAATCTCTTCTTTAAATTCTTTCCAGAACACAAACGTGGACGATGGAGGGTTCATGAACGATCTTCCTCTCCTAAAAAGTAAGTAAATCTGTCCTAATCACTTGTAATCTCGAGGCGATTGATCTTTCAAGATGAGTCTTATTTCCCTGATAATCGACTTCCTTCCGGTCTTGAACCTTTAAACCTGTTCCCCACCGGTTTAAATGCTCATTATCAGACGCGCCACTCAAATCATCATCATCGTATCGGCCTCGTCCATCTCGATCTCGAAAGACGCCGTTTCCACATTATTTTCCGAGTCCGCGCTCCTCTGTTTCTTAACAGTGTTCTAAATTCCATCGAATCGACAAATTTACGCGATAAGATACGAATGCAAAAAAAAGGAAAAAAAAAAAAAGGAATTACGTTTCGTATATAAGGATAAAGGCGCGAGAGATGGCGGGTATTATTCCCATCGTGTGGAAAACGTGTCCGCCGCCCAAACCGGAAATATAAAGTAGCCATGCCGGTAACTTGCCGCTTTTAATTAGAATTTATCTCCTCGAGTGTCGTATCGATTGCTTGCTCCGTGAACGGATTGTGAATTTCAAAAGCAAAGATGGAAAGGTAAAAAAAAAAAAAAAAAAAGTAGATGGCCTTCGTCCTTCATCCGCCATTAATAGAATTTTAAAGATCCTTAATTGCGAATAAAATGAAGCACAACCGAGGGAGGGAAGGATATGACAAGGATTTTTAATCGTCGTTCAATTTCTACCGAATGTAGAGATCTTGACGTTGATTCGAATAGATAAGCGGAAAAAAATTTATGAAGATAACATTTAAGTTTATATTACGAGTATCTTTAGAAACTATTTTCTGCTTTTTTTAATTTTCATTATATAATTTTAAAGAAAATTAAATATGCGAAAATAGAATCTTTACTCTTTGAAACGTTAAAATTGGAAAAATTTTTCACGAGATATATCTATATAATTACGATTCGATGATTCAATTATATTTTGAAATAAAAATTGAAAACTGGTAAGACTATATATATATGATTTGAAGAATCAAGGAATGGGTCAATTTAATTTCGAAGAAATATCGATGCATCACTATAGATTTCTCCAAGCGATAGAACAGATATTGTTAACTTGAAAAATCACAATCTTTCCTATTACACCATCGTTGTATCCACGACAATCCAAGCTAAAAAAAAAAACAGTTGCCCATTCACAGATTATTTAACCAATTTTTTTGTTTATATCTTGCATTATTCTCATCGCGATTAAGATAATCGCGATCCAAAATCACCCACGAAGTAACTCATTTGATCGGGAAACAAAATTGCCAGATAATAAACCCAATTACCTTGCCACCCCAAACCCCTCTCTTCACTCCGCTGAAATTCATTTTCCAATCCCCCATCCGCCCTCCCCCCCCCCCCACCCTATCAAAAAACGGTCGGTCGAGATAACATCGAACTAGGTAAAAGTCCACACGTCATCGGTTTAATTAAAAGTTTATCTTCGGAAACTCGTTTAATAAAATCGCCTAGCCGATAGTGGGTCGCACTTTCACGCCGATCTCGCTACCGATTCTCGGAACTGCGTATAAACCTACAGATAACCAATTTATACGAACAGCAGAATAGTTTCATTTAGACTCACGTGTATGTTTTTCCTATTCCATTGCGCGCGAAGTTTTTCTCGATTTCGTTCGACGTAGAGAATTTTTCTCCATCGTAAGACTGCTCAATACGCACGATTGCGTAACTAGTTCGTTTCGAAAAGATGGATCTTGTGGATGGAATGATATTACAAGGAAAATTGCGCCTCGTTCGGTGTATTCACTTCAATCGCGTTGGATAGATTTTCCTTAAGATTAAAATATTCCAACATTTCGAAACGTATCGAGAAATTTCGAATTTTTCTTAAAAATAGAATTAAAGATCGACTTTACTTTTCGAAGATAAAAGAATGCTGGATCGATACGTAATCACATTAGACTTACAGGAGACGAGATAAATATTCAATTCGAAAAATCGTGCATTCGAATATTACTTTAAATTCCAATGCCTGTCCATTGAACACGACCTCCCCGTTCGCAACTCGTCATAATCTTACCATACTTAGTGTTAAAATTTAGTCGAATGTTCATTCAAACAACGAAGCAACAAGGACCCTCGATGCGATTCTTGATTTTTCCGAACGGACGACACAATGGCGAGGAGGGGGGAGGGGAAAAAAAAGGTGTTACTACCGGTCCACTCGGCAAAAATACGTGCGTACGTACGTAGGTTAGGCCAGGATGCTTTGGAGGCGCGAAGGAGAAATAAAACTGGAGTGGAATTGGCCCGAGGCGGGTCGGATTTCGTTCATTGTCATTGTAATTTCTTGGCGGGGCGCAGTTTTCGGGGCGTTACACACCACGGGGGTATTACCTACAGATGGCTGTTTGTTCGAACGTCACCGTCGGTTATTATATGCCTTGTTACGCGCCCTCTCACTCGGGCTTATATTTGCCCAGTTTTCCCTTCCATTCCCTTCCATTTCCACCCCGAGCCGCCATTGTCCCTTTGTTTCGAACCACGTATTTCGACGTTGTATCGTCGAATTTAGAAAGGTGTATCCGAGAGACGCGTGTTCACTTTAACGGGCGCGCGACTTCTTTTATTATTCGTGTACGCGTGTACGTGAGATCCTAATGGAGAGGATAGTTTAGTTCTTTCTCCGTCGAAGATTTTCGAATCCATCGAAGCGAGAGAAATTTTCTTTGTCCGTGATTATCAAAAAAAAAAAAAAAAAAATGTATCAGAAATATTAATATTAGAAATTCAACGTATACGCGAATATTTCTGTGATATAATTTCGATCCGTGTCAAAATGAAAAAAAATCTCCGTCTCCGCCTACGTACGTTATAAAAATTGTTCGTCACACGTTGAAATCTAGAGCCGATTGGCGAGAGCAGCGACAAATACATACAACCGACGACATAACATACGCGTTCCGTTTCTCGGAAGCCGGTTATACAATTACTTGCAGCTTACCTTGGCTCCTTCGTCACTCCTCGACGTGCTCCAGTTTACCAGTTTAACGTTGCTCCAAGGTATACGAACGAAATGGATTTTTCTCGGAACTTGGAACTGCAAAAAAATTGAAAATTTTAAGATTGAAAACTTTGCCTCGTTTGATTGAGAAAATTGAAAAAATATCGAAGAAATTGGGGAAAGTATTGGGGAATAATATTTCTTGATAAAAGAAAGAATGTGTGTTATTATAATCGAAAATAAAATAAAATTCACTTAGAAATCGAAAAAATTGTATGGAACATTTGGCGAATGTAACTACAGGTCGTAGATAACTAGTTGGCGAATCACATTAAACTACAAGTTCACGTTACAATGTATAATCTGACATCTGTTGACATCTGTTTCAACCACTATTTCGTGTAATCCGTTCCTCTTTTAACGAGTAAAAAAAAAATCTTACAAGAAAACGTATATCATAAAAGTTAAAGATTGAAGACTACTTTTCAAGATCCATTTCTATCTAAAAAAAGAAAATGTAATTTTTGTATTAAAAATACTTTCGTAATTGAAATGATTCTCTTATTATTTCCAAAATAAAAAAAAAAGGAAGAAAAAAGATTCAAGAAATCCTAAGAACAGGTAAATTCAAAAACAGGGTAATTTTCTACTTGCCAAACAGGTGCGAAGAGAAAAAGAGATCCTAAGCGGCGCGTAAGGAGATGAAACGAGTTTTTGTGGTTAATCAATCGTCCTTCGTCAACGATGAGACCGTGTCGCGTTAGAAACAATTAATCATTCAAATGAGGCCAGCGAAGGCATTTACCGTGTTAATGATTTTTCTAATTTAACCGGTCAATGGTGTCCATGGTCAATTAACTTTCCTCGTTATTTCTGCACGTTACGCGCACTGTGCTCTTCTTAAAAATTAAACGAAAAGAAGAAGAATGGGTGTTGGGTGTTGCCGTGACAAGAGCTCGAAAATTATGCGCACCTTTCCACGTCGGTTTGACTTATGATCAGTAACAGTAATTTACGAAGCCAACGTGTGTTTTGGATATCGGATTAGAGTCGTCCTCTCGTTACGTTTCATTAGGAAAGTATATTATGATTATATCTTCCTTTTAATCTTCGACATAATAATAAACTTTCGACAACAAACCTTTTTTCGTCCAACACGTGTAATATACATGCGTAATATAAATCGTCTCGTTACCGTTGTTAAAAATAAGATTTTTCATTTGCACGAATTTATTATTTATATTTATGTGAATTATATTGTTTATTAAATTTTATTTCGCAAAGATATATTGATTCTTTTCTTTTTTTTTTCTTTTTTTTTTTAATGAATAAATTAAATGTATATATGCTGGAAAGGTATAAAAATTTTCTGAATAAAATGTATATATGCTGGAAAGGTATAAAAATTTTCTGAATAAAAAAAATATTCTGAAAATTTAATCGTAAATTCAACACTATATATTAATAGCAATTGATTTTTTAATAATAATAATTTAAATTTTATGCATTTTTCGCGCAGGTAGGATTTTATTCACCCTTTGGCGCCTGCAATTCCAATGATTCATTCATTAATCGTTGCATATATCTGAATAATTCGGCTTTTTTTTCGCGCTTTTTTCTATAACGGAGTTCACATTTTATCTGCATACATTATCCTAGCGATTTAAGTATCGATATCAAGGGAGGGGGGGAGAAAAAATTGGTTACATCATCCACAGAAAACCTGTTTGAAATGAAACTATTTCTATGCATCTTTTTCTTATTTGATTACATTTCTAGCGGCTGTATTTTACATTAGATCGCCAATGCCGTATTTTACATTAGAAATTCGTGTCTCGTTATCCCGTGTAGCTTAGTTAAGCAATACCAGACTTATTTCCCTTAAAAATAAAAAAGATCTCTTTTTATTTTTCCCCCAAGAATACTACTAAAGCTTCGTATTAACGTTGAATTTTAAGCAGACATTTCTATCTATAAAAATTTCATTCATACCGTTTTTCTACGTAAAGTTGGGCAAGGAATGAACATGTTACACCATAATCTTGATCT